TCGTTGGCCGAATTTACCCCAGAAAGAATTCAGGCAGAGCTTTGCGATCGAACGTAAACCTGGATTTCGGGCGATATTATTATTATCGAGAACAATACCTTCGGTTTTTTCGTATTCCCGAAGATACTGTTCCTTACTCTCGTCATGCAGGCATTCGCTCGGCCATCCGCTAGCTTCCTGCCTTAATTCAAAAAACTGTTGATATATTCGGCAAACGAACCACCCTGCCTCGTACGAGGATCGAACCGCGTAACTTTAAACTGCTATATTTCTCTCACGTTCGTTACGAGATAACCTTTCTCGAGAGCCTTGCGCAATTCGCAGGATACCCACGCTCCTACGAATGCACGATCGGCGAGGAGATCGTGAGTGCACTCGGCCTGCGAGAACGTTTCGCAGCAACTACGGCACAGCCCGAACAACAATTTACCTTGTACGCGGTATGGGAGTACAGGGTAAAAAAGATCGCGTGGACGAAGTACTGTGCATGATACCTTCGACACAATCGAAATTAAAATTCGAAGCTGTGGCAATCAGCTCCGAACACTGTTCTCCGATATAAATCGTTGGCTGGCCTAATGGAAAAGTACCCGTTTTTAATACGTACGGATACAGAGAACATACGTCCACGTAGCGTATTTTCTCCGTACCTGTAACATCGTATCGAGTTACGATATTTTCCGTACGGCCACCAAAGAACGCCTGGCGAGGGTCGAGAGGAGGGTTGATCAGTATCGGATGGCTTTCGAGAAAAGTGCGCATCTCATGATTTTCGCGCTTTTCTCGTGAAAATTTGCACTCCCATTTCTCTATCACCCTATATCCTCGTTGTCGAAGACGCCATGTCATTGTGAGAGTTCGTTCGTATCGTGCGTCGATTGTATCTTCGCGCGACACCCCGGACGTAAGTTTTCTTTCGCGATTGATTTGATAACAGCTGGGACAACCGTGCCAAAAACAACCGTGAAATTGTAATACGTAACGCGACGTCTGGTTCTCTGATTCGACTTCGTAATATCCGTCGACGGGTGTACCGGCAATTCGATACTCGCGGCCTCGCCCTGCATGGATTATAGGATGCCCTAGCTCGCGCTCCATCCACACTAACCACTGCAGGGCTTTATGCGAGTGATTATCTTTATATTTATATTCGCCCGGTGGAATGATTCCTATTTCTTCCTCACGTAAAAAGTTTTTACGAAAAACTTTTATACATGTGGAAACGATAGTCGTGCATTCTACGAACGGACACACGTCTCCGCGTTCTAAAAAGATTTTTTGCCATGCACGCACGTCGAAGGATATCTACGTCATTCCGGCAATATTTTACTATTTCCTGTTTAAAATTAAAATCGAAATTCGAACGCGACATTTCTTCGTGCCAAATCATAAAACGCTCGTGTTCCTCGGGTTTCATTTGTTCGGGCGAATAATGTCGTGTGTCTGGTATTGGACCAATATAATTTTGATTGTTCAACGTTAAACAAATGAGGAAAAAAACCTTTGCCCAGAGTATCCTGCAGCCCGAAAACCTTGGGTAACTCCGATAATCGCATAGGTATATAATTTGACCTATCGATAAATTTTGTACGTCCAATCGTCATAACGATAATTTTCGTCCCGTTCAAAATCACCCGAGGTTCTTTCGTTATTCCCGACTTTTCAACGATGTACTTTAAAATAAATTGAGCGTCAAATGCTTTAGCATTATGCGCGATACAGATAAATTTTTGAAATATTTAGACGAGCGCGTCGCGAAATCGACAAACTCTTTTACGGGGTCTCTACTAAATACGAATTCGCGCACTTCACACTAACGACATCACAATGACATGGCCTCTATTCCCGCGCAAATTTGTTGCGCGACGCAGAGAGTTGGAACGTGAATTCTCCGTTCCTTCGAGCGTTTCATCTTGTCACGTTTCGAAATCATGAAACACGAATGCGTCTCTTTTAACACGTTCGTTCGTGTCTTCGACGTCATTCGTATTTGTTTGCAGATTTTCTTCTTTTCGCAACGCCATAGTACTTATACCCTCTCCAGGGTTTCCTACTGTGGCTTTACGACAAAGAGGTCGCATGTAACACAAATGATTCGAAGACTGTAACGAACGGCACGTTTTACAATAAATTACGTCGCAATCGTGTCGCGATTTTGAATTAATCAATCGCCCACAACCGTTGCAAATTTTAATGGATTCGCAAACGCTTGAGAGGGATTGATTATACGATCCCTGCGTTCGATGACGATCGAAACATGGACGCCCGAAGAAGATGCGAGCGCACGAATCGCACTTAATCATCTCAACGTCGGGGAGCTCGCAAGACGGGGTGGCGTAGCAACGTGGGCATTTTTTTGTGCATCGATGCCCTCGGTCGTTACGAAAGCCCACGTTGCACGCTACGCAATATCCTCCACGAGAAACGGCGGCGGCTTTTAAACTTAATATAGGGTTATAATGTCGCGAACCTTCGTAATACATTATGTTTAAACAACACGAGGGTTCGCGACCTAGGGAGGAAAGTAACAAGCAGCCGTCATACATCGGATTCTCGCCTCGACCGAAAGTACTAAAATTATATACCATTATAGCAATATTTTCGGAAGCGAGAATCCGTTGGAATTTCTCGATTTCACGAATACCACACCCTTCCTCGGCAATCGTGATACCAGCGGATTTCGTTAATTCTTCGGCCAGCTTACGCTGTAACGAAGAATGCTGGTATCTCACGGATTCCCATTTTTCTTGCAATTCTCCCGTACGCAGTTGCCCACGCTCTTAATGTATGCGAGCCACTACGATCGAACGGGGAAAACACAAATTGTATGTGTTATTTATTTGTAAAATCGAGCGTTTGGCTATGTCTTCGCGAGTCAATCTATTAGATTGACGCCCGCGACCTGCGGGTATCGAGACTTTGAAAACGCGCACGGTAAAATTTTCTGCGATATCGAATCCTCCGGCACTTTGCGCCAACGAATTCACGAGTTGCCATATGTCCTCGTGAATTAAGTCGCGTGCTGGACGAAACGATAGACCCGCTGGACCGCGCGATAGATCCGCCGACTCGAACGATAATCCTACGTAATCGTTCGGTTCGCACGAATGTAGCGCATACGTCCTAATTTCACGGAACGCGCTTTCTATCCAACGAATGATATCAGTATCTTCGGGTGGCGGACGTATCGCGAAAGTTGCCTCCCTCCCTAGTAACGCGAAATTCCTGAATCGACGCGAGTTTTCCGCCCTTAATTCTATGAAAGCGAAATTATTTCTAACCTCCTCCTCCTCCTGTCGGCGATGACAATCCTGATCGTTTTCCTCGAGCTGATGATGATGATGATGATGTGTATATTGATGTTGCTGCTGCTGCTGCTACTGCTGCTGATGTTGTTCGCCGATGGAATTTTGTGAGGATTCTTCTTACGTCGGCATGTTTTCTTCTCGCGTGTAAGACGCTCACCGCCTGTTTATACTGTAAAAAAAGTTAAGCAA